TGTAAAGCCTATATTAGTATTTCTGATTTAGATAAAAGTGAAGCAACTATGCGATATGTTTTATCTCTTAAATAGCCTAAAATATTGCTTATATTATTTACATAAACATAGCAATAGGTACTAATATTTTTATTACAATTATTTATTCAGAATTTTATATTTTACCTGCTGCATCTATAGCCAAATTATACTGAGAAATAGCTTTGTCAAATTCCTTCTTTTGAAAATATAATGAACCCAATTGATTATATGACCTTTCTAATTGATCATACAAGTTATGTGTCTTACAAATCTTTATAGACCTTTCAACAAGTTCTATTCCTTTATCAAAGTTACCTTCACATTCTTGAATTACACCTAAGTTTGCAAATAAGCGTGCTGACATATCCATATGATCATATTTACTAATCCCAGTCAAACTAAAAATGATTTGAAAAATTAGAAGTAAAAAAGTCAAATTTTAATATGATATACTTCTAGTGGCGTCATCTCTTGGTTAGGCCGGAAACTTATCAATCCACCCTCGTATTGTTTGCTATTTGTAAGAGTAGATTAAGCGTGTTTCAAGATGCTTATGCTACGGCCAGCCTGTAGACCGAGTTATTTGTTCATTTAACGTTTAGTCTTGTACTTAGATGTGTAATTCAATAAATTATTTCAACAATAGATATATCAACAATTGTAGTAGGTTAGTTAGTGAAGAGTTTAGTCGAAGTTATAAAGATAAACAATGCACAGACACTTCACATCCACCAAATCAAAGGTGCAAAATGCTAGTCTCCTACCCCGGTTTGTAGCATTGGATATTATAATTTAATATAGTCGTATAAAGGGTGATATTAGAAGTTGCTACATCTTATTTCAATATGTTAATGCTATTATGCGGTCATTTTTGATTTCTTTACCTATATGTTTGTTAATTTTCAGTGTTCCTGCTGACGTAGTGATAGATTTTTGATAAATATATTAGAAAAATGAATAGTACAAAAGTTTTATTAGAGTATGTTCACTCTTGTCAAGGTATAACTACAAGAAACACTTTTTTTATAGAAAATACCACAAATGTCGCGGTAAACGCCATCAGTAGTACGATTTTAGGATTACGTATGCTCCAACAAGGTCCATTTAAATATATGGATATCTACTTGCTGAAACGAATCCCGGCGTAGCTAACGCTAACCTCAACGTGATAAGCACGTTACCATAATCGAATAAAATTAATTCGAAGTGGTCTGTATTCTGTCGAAAGTGCCAGACGCGGATCGCGATCTTTTTAGATCTCATCAGCGCGTCGCAGACAGCTCCGACAGAACACAGACCAACTTTTACCTGCTGTCTTAACAGCGCGTTTTAGAAAATACCACAAATGGCGCGGTAAACGCCATCTGTAGTAAGTTGCAGTAGTACGATTTTAGGATTACGTATGCTCCAAATATTATATACAAATAATTTAATAAATATTTATATACAAATAACCACATAAGCGTAAAAAAAGGCAGTTCGATTTTATTTATATGTATACGTTGCATATATGCCTGTATCTATTTGGTACTTACAGACCATCATTTAAAAATAAACTAAAAAGGCATCTTAACATGTATCAATAAATTATCATTGTATACTCCGCACCATCTACACATATGCAACTATTTGTGTCTAGGTATATTTTCTAGGAAGAAGTCAGCAGATAGTGCCCCTTACTTATGTAAATAAAACATAAATACATATATTTCACTGAGATGAATGTAATTGAATCAACGGACTACTTAGTAGTAACAGTAAAATTAGAAATTATGTACGTACTTCGTTCAATATTTTATGGTTTTAATAGAACAAAAAACACATAAAATGTTGGTACTTACACCACCAAATTAAATAAACTCGGCAGTCTAGACAAAAAATGTGGTCCAATTTTTGTCGGTATACAAATTTTACGGGACGTCAATGAAGATAACAAAATGTAGTAAAAAAAATTTTCTTTAGTGTACCACCTACCGAAAAATGCCTAATCGGAACAAACTTTCTCAGTATGCAAACAATTTCTTACTCAAATTAATACCAAAAAATACATCTTATTGTTAAACTACATGCAAACTGTTTTTGCGAATATAAGTTGCGCATATTCGTCTAACTAGAATCATAAGTAAAATTCAAAACCGTCATAATATATAGAGTGTTCAACTTAAAATAACGAAATTGATGTTAACTTCCGGAATAACCGGAGATGTATACATGCCGTTATTTTAATTGAGGCGAGCATATACAATAACGCCAATGTACAAATTTTCTAATTTTAAATCGAACTAGCTTCCGAAATATTCTAATGGGTGGTCACTGTGAGATATTCTGTATACGTAATAGGAAAATAATGAAAATAGGTGAAGTTAAAAGTAATTTTGGAACTACCACATCCACTACAGTAGGACTTTTGTTATTTATTATTTACATAAACTCACTCATGTTACAATTAGATAACGTAACAGCTTTTGCTGATTACACTGCACTACTTTGTAATGCTGATAATTGGAAGACAATGAATCAGTTGAAATTAATAGATTTTCGGTTATACAGTAATGATCTTGCTTCCAATATGAACAAAATAATCTGCATAAATTTTGGTAAATATGAAGACTCCTTACCTCATGATTTTTATATTGAACTTGATGGTCAAGATGTAAGTAGGAATTCAAATGCTAAGGACCATGTCCACTCATTAGTTAAAAGAATAAAGTATTTGATTTACGTTTTTCATAAATCTAGATTTATTTTAAAGTCCTCAATTTTATTGGTGTCTGCTAAGGATTATTCATAGTCTAGTTACTAAATTACTTTTTATATATTAATGTAATCAATGTAGCAAGAAGCTAAATAAACACATTATTATTATTATTATTATTATTATTATTATTATTATTACTTACAAATACTTCACTTCCACGGTTAATGATTTCAATACATCATTTTGGATTGGTTACTATAGACAAGACATACCTAATAAGTAACAAGTAGGTAGGAACAATAATTGGTTCAACAGTATTGAACAGATTAAACTATCAGATATCCTGATTACTTTAATCAAAATTCAGCAACAGTTTCTATTTTTTTCGGCGGCGTTTCAGGACTCCCTACCCTTCCTATTTATTTTATGTTCTTCAATTGGCGCCTCTGTTATAATTACAGGTATTAAACTCATAAGGATAATTAATGTCACTGAAACTGATTACCGCCGTTATCAATTTATTGTTTGCTGGTCATCAGTGTCTGCGCAACCGAAAACTGATCGCGAAAAGCAGATTCGCGATTTGTTTTGCGAAAGGAGGAGCGTCGGTTTTAAGGGCGGGTTTTGCAAATGTGACCTAAACGAGCAAGATTATGTACTATACAGCGCCTTTTAGTATGACAAATTCTTTTACGATTAGATAATGCCGAACCGTATTACATTTCCGGAAGAAATTTATAAAAACGTGTCCCACAAAATAGGTATTACCCACCTATTATCAATNAAAGTTAAAATTCAAATATATAAAAGTCATTTTCCTCTAAAATAAGTTATACCACCTCAAATGGTGCTGTTTAGGCCCCACAGTGGTAAATATGAGAATATTAGTGGCCTGCACCTGCTTCACCGGAAATGCTTATTTTGTTAGAATGCTTCTATTGTTCATAACTTATAAATATTACTGTAATTCATTCTTACATTATTTTTCTGACTAGATGAAGCATACCTATCTGCTTAGTAGTGGAGAACCACGATAATGGGGCGATGGCAACGGATGATGTAACGCGAGCCTCAGTAGCAGAGGATCACCTTATGACCAACAAACGTAAAAGAGGCTGTACAAATATGTGATATCCTTCATGAAAAAAATATATTAAATCTTAGATACGTAGAAAGTAATTATAGGTTTTCAATAAAGCGTAACACAATATCTGAAGTAAAAAGGAAAGGCATATTAAAAGTAAGATAAGAAAGCTGATGTTTTATGAACAATTGCAGAATGAAATGGACTAACCACAGGCTGCTGCTAATGAGACACTTTAATGCTCGAATTGGAAATGAGAGTGTACAGGGGAGGGAATAACTTTTCCACGAACACGTAAGTAATGACAATGGAGACCTGTTAGTATAATTCTGTGCCCAAAATCTCAAAATCACACCCTTTGGTCACCACTTCAAATGCCTAAGGACAACAATCTGTTACAATAAAAACAATACAACAAAATATCTCTACTTAGATAGTGTAGAGGATGCATAAAACAAAGTGAAAATAAATGACGCAGAAGTAGCGAATGAATCGATTGAAACAAGAATTAAAACAGGAGTTGTAAACGAGTATAAAACACCATGGTACACGAAAGAAGTTATGGAAATCACCAGAAAGAAGAGATGCTATTTTTGCACTAAAAAAAACTGAGACGAGCAATCCTGCCAACAACGATGATTCATCGACGCAACTTGAATATTGCTGCGATTTTTTGTATAGCCCCATATTTCCGATTGAATCCATATTTAACTGTACCACCATTTAAATGAAACCTACTGCAACAGTGAGGTACACAGCAGTTTGACGGCATTTTACATTTACTTATAGCATTCGAGTATCTTAATAATAATATCTTGAGATGAAATAATAAACGTTTTAACTTGCAATCCCTAGACTACTTGAAGGCTGTCTAATTGCTTTACAATTTTACGTCAAAGTCGTGAAGTGAATTCGAAGAGTCCGATGAGGGTCTTATTAAACATGCAAAATTGCAATTTAATAGTTTTTCAGTTAGAGTGGGGAGTCGAAAGTAGTGTAAATTTACCCACTAGTGTTGCAGCAGATCTCCGCTTCCGAAATTGCTGATGTTTTGCATACCTTTTCCACATCCTCTTCTACATCTCGTTCCGCATTTTTATAACGGAAGTTCATCGGAATTAATTTAACAAAATTTTATTTCTCATACTATTTAGAAAGAATTGATTGTTGAGATATTGTATGTTAGGCAGGTACTTGTTCTTTCTGCTAACCCACTGTAAACACATTGTAAACATATTTCTCAATCGTTTATGTTTATGAAGTATTAACGACAATGTGCAGCGTTATAATAGCAGGCAGAATTTTAAGTTAAGAGAAAAATGAGCGCCTTCAAATACGACCTAAATTTGTAATTTGTTACACGTTTGTAGTTTACCTATTCTCAAAGTTACTCTATTGTTAATTTTATTATTACTGTATCAATATTGCTTCAAAAAATTCTATTTAAAAACTGTTGGACTATACTGCTAAAGTACCTACTCAACATTAATTGTCTCTGTAAATAATTTTATTACTTGTACGTTCCTTTAATAAGCATTGGTTTTTAATGGTGGGTTCCTCCAGTAGTTTAGAACCTAAATCTATTTCCTAGCTTTTCATTCATTCAGAAAAGATTGTTTTTTAATACATTCTGATATTAACTTTTCAGTAGGTGGTACACTAACAAAAATAAGTTTTTCTACATTTTGTCACTATTTTGATTTTTATTGACATCCCTTAAATTTGCATACTGAAAAAACTAGACAACATTTTCTGTCATGATGGTCCGATCTATAAATCCATCCCATTTTTTAATAAAAATGTTGGTTTTTATGCTAAGCATGAAATACTTCATTAGCAACCAGTCGCTAGATGGCGATTTCCTGTCTATACTTTCATTTTTGTGAATTAAACAGTTACTTACCACCACATCCAGTTCCTCCTCTATCATTTATAGTGGCCCCATGATTCACCAATAACTCCACAATATCTAAATGACCATGAAGACAAGCTTCATGGATAGGTAACCAACCGCAATTATCTCTTATATTTATAGGATGTTTTTGCTGAATTAATTTTTTGGCAAGTTCAAATTTGCCATTTATACACGCTGTGTGCAATTGCGTTTCACCCTTTGCATTTTTCTTCAACATGAAAGTTTTTGTTTTTTTGCGAGTAGAAAATCGAAGTTTATCGGGAATCTTCTCATTATCGCTACTATCGGAATCATCTACAATAATTTTTAAAAAGTAAATATTATTAGGAACAATGTAAAATTACCTGTAATTTCATTTATGCATACATCATCTCCAATATTTGGAGTTGTCTGAAATTCTAAACTTTCACTTTCTGATTCCGATTCTCCAATGTTCAATTTTTCATATTCACTTTCAAGATTTTGAGCTTCTGTAATTTTATTAGCATTTTTAAGCTGTGCTATATGTCTAGAAAGCACTTTAGCTTTTAACCGATTATCTGTATCTAATTTACAATGATTGTATGCCTTCCTATACACACTATCAATTTGTACCCAGTCTTTTTTTGCTAATTCCATTACCTCAGCCATATCTAAAAGCGTCGTTACCGCCTCTTTAAGCTCATTTCTACACAAGCTATACTCTTTCTGAAAATAACTCAGTGACAAATCATACTGCTTATTATCCTTATATGTTTGTGCAAGACTAATATAACAAGGACTTAAAGCTTTGTCTGTATCTCCTGACTTTATTGCAACATTCAGCATTTTTTCATAATATTGAATTCCCAAAGAATAAACTTTGAGCTCACATGCACCATCTCCCAATTTTTCATAAAGATGCTTTCTACGAACATAGTCAGTATCATTGGTAATTAAAAGTGCATCTTCTGCATAGCACATTGCAGCAACTGAAATCAAATGATTATATACATAATGCTTTATGATATTATCCCTATTAACAATTAAACATCTAAGAAACATTAAATAGGTCAAGCTCCAGTGACAAAACCGAAAACAGTCCCTGACGAAGGTTATTTTGTTATCAAATAGTATTCTGTATGTTTAGTGTCATAGTGTTGTAAGGGTTTGAGCTATTCAGTATGTTCTAAAATTCTGCCAGAGTGTCCACTCTACTTGATATGTAATAAACTTAAACATAGTTCCAAGACAACAAATAATTAAAAGAGAAAATGACATGTGGTATATTCAATTTGTTTGTTAACGTGGTACATTTTGTTAAAAAATTAAGAAATTTCATTGTGAGGTGAGAATTGTCGATATTATTAAAAACCATACCATCATTACTGATTTTAATAAAGAAGACTTTTGAAATCTTATTTATCAAACCAAAAATGTAAAAAAAAAAACAGAAAACCTTTTCTTTTTCTTTTCAAGTGAATGCAGCCAATCAACCAAAACAGTTTCTATTGTTAATGAGAATAGACTAAAATTATATTAGTGTTTCTCCCAATTATGTGAAAAAATATGCAACATACCAATTTTTAATTTGTGAATAACAGTTTCTTGATCTACAACATTTGGACTTTTCATTTTGTATGCTTTTAATAAAACTTGTTTAGCTCCACGAAAATCAGACAATGATATTAGTATTTCTGATTTAGATAAAAGTGAAGCAACTATGCGATATGTTTTATCTCTTAAATAGCCTAAAATATTGCTTATATTATTTACATAAACATAGCAATAGGTACTAATATTTTTATTACAATTATTTATTCAGAATTTTATATTTTACCTGCTGCATCTATAGCCAAATTATACTGAGAAATAGCTTTGTCAAATTCCTTCTTTTGAAAATATAATGAACCCAATTGATTATATGACCTTTCTAATTGATCATACAAGTTATGTGTCTTACAAATCTTTATAGACCTTTCAACAAGTTCTATTCCTTTATCAAAGTTACCTTCACATTCTTGAATTACACCTAAGTTTGCAAATAAGCGTGCTGACATATCCATATGATCATATTTACTAATCCCAGTCAAACTAAAAATGATTTGAAAAATTAGAAGTAAAAAAGTCAAATTTTAATATGATATACTTTTCACAAATGACTAAACTTTTCATTAAAAAGTTTTGTGCAAAATCCAAATGTTTCTTATTGTTTTCACTATCATACAAATAACTAGTAAGGTAAGTGTGACCTATGGTTGCCAGAGCTCTTTGTTCTTCTAATTTGTTATTTTCTTCTTGGGCAATTCCTGCAAGTAAATCAGAAAACAATAACAAAAAGATAAAATTTAAGACTGACTTACCTAGATAAATATTTTGACATTGCAGTGCCTCTTCAAACTGATTTAAATGCATATAAGCTTCACCAATCATCCTATTTGCTTTAGCATAGTCCATTCTCCTCTGTAGTTCTTCATATGTTTTAGCAAGATCACGATATTGTTCAATAGCATTTTCGTATTTAGCTTCATTTGTATATAAATCACCTAAGTCTGTACAAATAGATGCAAACATCAATTGATTCCCAACTTTAAATGCCTTATGTTTCTTTCTTAAAAGAACTTAAAAAAATGTGTTAACATGTACCATATTATTATAATAATTCCTCACTTTGCTCATCCATCTTTCCAAATTACAATAATAGTTTTAACTTTGTTTACAGTAATAAATAATTGTTCAATATCTACTAGTGACTAGAATAAAAATGAATAAAAATTATATGAGACAAAATACAAAAACCAAACACAAACTCTATAAACATAAACTAAAATATCAAAATGACAGCATAGATAATAGATACACAAAGGGTTTAACCATAGATCAGAGAATATAATACGATAGTGGTAGTTTTCCAATTACAGAGCATAATGCGACTCAGTGCCGCACCATGGCGAAGTGTGCTGGTGCCATAGATAATAGATGGTGCTTAATTGGAATGTGTATTAGTTTTCAAGTGCACCAACAGAGTGCACTGTCAGTGTTGAGGAAAAAAACAGTCATCGACTTAGCAACCTTATTAATGTACTTTTAAAGGGAATGGTATACAACAACAATAATAATTAGTCGAAAACTTTTTCTAAATATTATAAGTAATTTCGATTTTTATTATTTCAATTACATTTTTTTGTGCGCATCGGACTAGGCAGTACTTTTCAAAGTGCTTAACGGTGCGAGGCGTTGCTATAGTTGGAACACTGGATGATGCGCATAATGTCGCATTGTGTGCTCTAGTGCTCTAACTGGAAAACTACCAGTGTCTGCGCAGAAGACGCTTCGTGCAGTTTCGTTGTCAACTCCATAGACATACTGGGATCCGTCAAATGGGAGGAGCCTAAAAACATGGCGCCGATTAGGGAAAATTTATCGTTGTTCCTATAGTGTACCGTGCAATTTCCATGTTTTTAAATTACGATAAAATGATAAGTATTGACACAATATGTGATTGGGCTGATACAAAGCCTCGGAAAGGAAATTTCGTTGAAGGTGAGCGTATTTTTAATGCCAATCACATTATAAAATTCGGAAATAACAAATCCGGAAGCTAGCCTTCAAATTCCGTCAAGTTTACTGCCTACTTTTTACAAACTTCGTATTTAAAAAGTGATTCACGTTATATAATTGGTGAGGCGATTCTGGGTGATTTAAGCAATATCATATCAATGACTTGCACGTNAGACTGTACATCACGGTTTTTCTGTGTTGGGCAGAAAACATCCTTTCTTTACTTATTGTAAAGCATGATTGAAGTACTTAATATATTACTTACTTTCAGGATAGGTAAAAGTACTTTTCACAAAAATTTTAAAATATTACAAGTTGTGAAACTACTCACTATTGCTCAATAACGCCACAACTACTGGGGAATTCCTCCGATAATCGCAACCGCCGTCGCGTCATCTGTTGTCGTTTCAGTAAAATGTATGTCGCCTAGTATGTCGGTAATGTCGATTTTGGTAATTTAAAAAATTTAAAAACTTACATGGGGTAAACTTAGGTGTCGCTCGCGCTCGACATTTCATACCCTGACACTCGATGCTGCGCATAATGCCGCATTGTGCACTTTAGTGCTCTAATGGAAAACCAGTGTAGTCATAGGTTAGAGATCTATTATCTATGGTTAGGGCTATTCCATCGACGTTTACAAATGGACATGCCTCAGCGGTCAGAATTGTGGTACAACAAAAGAAAGAGATGGAACAAAGTTTCGTACAGTATTCATCTCTCTCACGATAGTGCGCATATAGGCTATACCGGATTTCTACCGACTAAAACCGAGTGGGGATATCAACCCCGGGAAGGAAATGGAAAGGCTGAGAGTGGGAAAAGAATTGAGTTGAGAAAAGGGTTGAGTGTAGGGTGTAGTTGAAAATAGGTAGCCCACCTCTGATTTGATGGGTGGACCCTCGCGCTAAAGAGCGAAGCTAGAGATGAGCAAATGGGAGCGGTTCATTGTGGAAGGTAACAGCGCTTTCGGAAATGGTCGTTTGGTTTCGGGGCGCGGTTGGAGAGTGTCGAGATGGTGGGGTTTGCGTGGCCTGACACTAAAGTCCGAAGATTTGCTGCGAATGAGATTGCAGCCTCAGGGAGAGAAAGTAAACCGGAAAGTTGTTTTGTCCTACGTGGTCTAAGAGCCGATCAAGAAGGATGGATTCAACGAACTGAGAGGGGCTTTCCTTTTTTAGGGAGACAGATAACAGTGACTTCTTTCCATACTAAAGGGAAGCGAAGGAGCATCGCATGATGGCGAGCGTTGTTTCGAAGAGAATGGATCACTTTCCAAGTGCTTTGGGAATGTGCTTCTGCTTAAGTGATATAATCGTCGAAGGATTCGTTGTGGAATTCGGTGAGGCGAGTTTTCAGTTCTTGCTAAAGTGCGTTTAGTTCGACACGGTGTCTTTGCCACAGACGGCGGATCTTGTTTTCCCTCTTAACGAGGTCAAGAATGTCTGCGGAAAGAGTTTTGACTGTGAGGAGGAGGGGCGGGAGGTCGTGGAGAGCTTGGCGGTGCTGATAATCTCGTTTGAAAGGACATTTACAGCTTCATCGAGTTCCGCCATTGTGTAAATTTGAGTCCACTTAAACGAAGATGTAGCGGTGATGAAGCCAGTCTGAGAGGATGTTAGCTTTGGGGGGTTGTAAGTTGAGCGGCCAATTGCGATTAGGATAGGAAGGTGGTCTGAGCTGAGTTCGTTAAGAACAGTAGGGTCAACGAAAAGGTTGACGTTCCTTGTGACGAAGATGTCGAGGATATCTGCAAGGTAACTGTGACATTCCGGGAAATGTGTGGGATCTGGGGAGTTTCAATTGTGAATTTGAAATCAAAAGTGTTGGCAAGAAGGGAAATGCCTTTTTAGTCATTATGCCGGCAGCCCCAGAAAACGTGTTTGACATTGAGATCGACTGCGACGATAGTCAAGACGTTTGGTGGAAGTAGAAGGGGGAGTTTTCAAAAAATCCTATTCGTTCGAGGAGGAGTTTAACCAGATGATTCTGACGGAGTCGAATGTTGAAGAAATTTTAATGCCAACTGCTTCTAAAGTGTTAGTAGCCAAAGATATAGGCTTGCATTTAATAGAATTTCTAACGAAAATGACCAACCCGCAGCCGCCGGAGTTTCTACGATCCCTTCTGTACGCTGTGAAGTTTGGGATAGAAAGGTTGGTCGGTGAGGTAAGCATGTTTCGGTAATGCAGGCAACACCGATTGACTTTTCCTCGAGGAAGTATTCGAGTTCAATAAATTTTACCTCTAATGCCATGGGCATTCCAGGTGACTAATCGAAGACTATTTGAGTGGGCTGTATTAGTCACTGGTGGGTGTTTGGAGGGTGACAATTAAACTGAAGGACGGAGTTGCACCTGATGTTGTAGCGGTTCTTGGGGTTGGGTTGGGCTTTTGGGTGGGAGGTTGCTCTCCCTAGAGTAAAACTTCTGGGGGGATGTCATTGTGGAGACAACAGGAGAGCGGGCGATTGGTTGGGCACTCTTTGGGGTAGCCAAAGTTGTTGTAATGGTCTTTTTCAGGAAATCTGTTCTACGCGGAACCTTGGGGCAACCGCAATAGGTGGCACGGTGACTTTCTTTACAGTTAGCGTAGGAAGGAGTGGTCAGAGTTGTCCAGGCGAACGAACACTAGTGGCCAGACTTTGCTTCCGTTGGACATAACAATAGACACCACGGATAGCGGAACCTTTGTGGGATAATTCGGACTGAATGTCGTTCGTGGAGATGGTCTCGCACACTCTGCGAAAGACGACGTAAAGGTCCCTATCTTAACGGAGCTGGTTTGTAGAGTATTCGACGTTGAACTCGTCGAGGAGAGAAGACAAGCGGCGGAAGTCCTCCACAGAATTGCGATATACCCAGACGCACGCACGCACACACGCAAAGGATTGAGTGTGGGGGGAGAAGGGAGTATTTGGGGAGGGAAAGCGTCGAAGTAGGCGTGCTCCACTTAATCTCGTCACAACTATTTATAGATATTAGCCGTTCCAGAATGTTCCACTATATGCCTTCTAGAAACCTGGTCTTCTTTGTCAATATGTATGTTGCCTACATACATGTGACAATACAAAACAAATACCATGGAAAAACAATATAATACAAAACAAATACAACACGGGTGCTGGTGATGATCGATTGATCGAATACTGTATGATCAGGGCTGGACTGGCTTTTGCTTCTACTTTCACATACGTATTTCTCGAAAACGGTGGACTTTCGGACCACCAAACTTTACTTAATTTTCTTATTTTATGGTGCTCTATCAACTCCTGTAAGTTTTCTACTTATATCAGAAACACCCTGTGTACATGTAGTGCTAATACATATCCTAATAGTATTGTAATACACGCCAATTCAAAGTATCAGTCGGTGAAAGTGTCAAATGAAGAGCAAATTTTTAAATGCCAGATGAGAATCGAATATTAATTATAGATAATTAAATTCAATATGTTATTTTAATCGAAAACGGCTTTGTACTACAGAGATAAGTAAAAAAGAAAAAAGAGATGCATACTATATAGATATCATTAATGAACACATTAAAGAGGATAGGAGCTAGGTGCGAGCCTTGAGGTACGCCGGATATTGCATAAATAGATGGGATATGTAGCCGTTGACTTTAACTTGTAATTGTCTATTCGTTAAATAAGAAGTGAACCAATATGCATGCGCTTCGAAAGTATCCATTCGAAATAAGAGTACGTCATATTCGGATGATTATTCCGGATACCATTTTAATTCGATTCCGTATTATTCGAATATCAAAAACATCCGAATATTTACAACACTAGTCATAGTGGTTGACGGATCACGCATTTTATCGCGGATAGGTATATTTTACTACTGACCCGACTAAGATCCGTGATCCATAGACAAAACAGTCCACGTCCGTTATTCAACATTTTAGGTATCCGTTNGCTTTTCTTTATTAATCCTTTTTAGGAACTTCTTCGACACAGCTCTAGTGGCGCAATTGGTTAGCGCACGGTACTTATAAGACAGTGTTCGTGAGCTATGCCGGGGTTGTGAGTTCGAGCCTCACCTAGAGCATATTTTTTTATTCTTTTTACAATTTGAAAACGAGAAAGTTATTATTTACCTTCCTACATTTAATAATCGTAATCATTTGAAATGCTGTATCAGAAAAACTAATACATAGAGGTTATATAGAAGTATACTTTATTTATTTCAAATTTAACAATAAAATTATATGACGTTGCCTTGCATTGAAGGGGCCGCAGTGGAAGTAGATGTTTGTGTTATTACCATTGATGCTGCATTTTGTAAGACTTGCTTTCGAAAAAAATTGCCTGTAGCACTTGCAATACTTTCTTTTTGTCCAATCTTACATTTTACATATCCATACAAATTGGCAGTACTCAAAATAAGCGCAATTACAACCAATAACTATCATTAAAATCAATATATAATTAATGAAAGTTGAAAGATACAGCCATTATTGATAACATACCAACCACTTTATTTCAAAGCCAAATAATGCTACTATAAAAAATACTGTCCAAATAAACGGTGTTAATACCAGAGCAATCCAAAATATTTTTGTTTCTCTCTCATTTGTACGATTCTGTAATCACCCTAAAATGGGCATAAATAAGTACTTATGGAATACTTTAGTTGATGGATTACACCTGTTTTGACTCATAAACCCAGTGTGAATTTCCATCTTCATCTACATAATTCCACCAACGTAATCCAACCATAAGTCTACCAGTGATATTTTTGACTGTCCAAAAATCCATTGAAAGTAATATAACAACAACAACAAAGCTTGTAATGAAACTACTGCTAAACCAACCACACATAATGTAAGCAACTATTGATGTAACACGAAAACATAAATGAAAAAATGTTACATATGGATGTCTAAAATGAAGATTTCAAAAAAAATACTGTTAAGTTTAAACAACAAAATGTATTACAGTAACTTCTCCGGCTGGACATTATCTTCTTCTCCGAAAGCTAGGATATCTTCTGAAAGTAACGGAGCCTAAAGAAATTTAAGTAAACACTGTTCATTAAATAAACACTTACCTTTGTATCAGACATATTCTGTGATTCTATTCAATATTTTTGTGGTGTTTAAATACTGAACATTTCAATATTTTAGTGTAATTGAACGTACAATAATAAAGTGGTTTAGACCATGTTTATCTATAAATGACTGTAACGTATTTTACAATCTTTGCTGCAACATAACCATTAAAATAACTAACAATTAACCATGACCATATGATAACTAGTAAATGTTGACGGTTGTCTAATTGTTAATTGCAGAAACCATTGATGTCAGAAGGTAAAACAGGAAATTTGGTACTGTTACTGCTGTAACAGAAACCCAGAAACCTGATATCCCTGATAATTATTATTATTATCGGTTATATAGGATTTCACTCTTTACCGTTTGCTTATCTAATATCTATGGATTTTACCATAAATTAAAGTAATTACAAAATATATTGAAAACTACGTTTAGATTTTTTGGATCCATTATAAAAACGTCCCTAGACCGCGAAGATAGTAAATTGCAACAGTTGCTCTATCCAGCGTCATCATGTGGGTAAGGGACCATTCAGGTATTACGTAAACATCATAGGATAATGGGGGGTTGGGGTCCCTGCTATGTTTATTTTCGATGACACGGGGTCATGGGGTCTGATTGGTGATTAGGGGAAGTCCGGGAGAGTTGAACCGCTTTTTGTTTAAAGTATCGTATTTTCTTATTCAATCAAAATAATTAACAGTAGCTTATTTATTTAGGTTTACTTATGCATAGGTAATTACTTTTTTGATATTATAGTACTGATATATGGGATATGACTCAACTCTCTCCACCCTTAGGGACACTTAAACCGGGGTCTGAGGAGAGTTAAATATTACTTTTTAAAGGGGGAAATAAAAACATTTTGCAGCTTAAATCACAAATATATTAAACAAAAAGTTAAAAATGAAATGAAATTATTAACACAGTTATTGCTCTTATAAAGAAAAAAAAAAAAAAACAAAACTTCAACATGTTCTTTAAAATTCCACAATCAACATAATTATTCAACATTTTCTTGACAAACATTTAACGTTTCTTTAATCAAACTTGTTGGTCAAACTTCCCGCATATACTACTTTGACATTAAATTTTACTCACAGGAAAAAGAATCAATCTTAGCGAAAAAACACTTAGCCCACGTCAAACTACAATAATCAGACAGTACAATAGTAATAACATACAATCAGTACCTCTATAAACACGGCCGCAATCTCAAAACTACATAAATTAATAAAATTATTCCTCCGTAACAAAAACACCTTTCGGAACTTGAGATCCAAACAAACGGGCCATTGTAAAATTGTGATTGGCATTAAAAACACGCTCACCTTCAACGAAATTTCCTTTCCGAGGCTTTGTGTCAACCCAATCACATATTGTGTCAATACTTATCATTTTATCGTAATTTAAAAACTTGTAAATTGCACAGTACACTATAGGAACTACGATAAATTTTCCCTAATCGGCGCCATGTTTTTAGGCTCCTCCCATTTGACGGATCCCAATAATAAAGTGAACCGTTAGGATTCGACTTTCAGCTTTTGTTATATTACCTATGATAATACGCCTATTTTTTGTTAGATATGGGGCAGATACTTTTCACAGAATTTTATAACACAAACATTTTGGTGTTTTTGCCAACCAAGACGGTAATGTCTTTCTACAAATTATTTAAAATTGGTACAAATACTACGAAATTGAGACATCTAACATTACTGCAAGGCAACTTAACCTAGGTTCCTCTTTCCCCCACGCTACTCCATAGCTCAACAAGTAAAAAATTATAGTTTGTCATTTTATTTTCAATTAATTTTTTTATTTTATTAGTCATTGTGTTTATGTTTTCTTTTTCCTACTTTCTCTTCTAATTTAATTCCTAAATATATAAGTACATACCTTTACCCGTTTTTGTGCCTCATATAATGAGGTAATATTAGTTATTTGTATTTTTCTTCCTAATTTCATACTTATAGTTTACATTAAGTTTTATTTTTTTGGAATGAGTTGATTTTCCGCTCCACTCCATACCATTCCGTTTTAATTTCTTATATCCTATTCTCACAACTTTTTCCTTTTCTCTTTCTTGATAAGCTGTATGCTTTATAATTTTTTTTATTCTCCTAGTAAATCTACTTTTGGCTAGTCTCAAAGTTTTTATTGATATACCAGGTTTTATCCTGGGCTTCGCTTGCACTGTTCTAAACACGTGTCAAAGATCATCATCATCATTTAGACATTTTTTTTTTTTTGTTTTTGTGGAGGAGAGGAAATCTTCGAAAGACACTCGGCCGCCCGCGCGACCGGGTAGTGTCGGATTCATCCCGAAGGACGCCTACCGACTAAAACCTCTCCCCTCAGGCCGTTCTAGGGCCGCGAAGCCCTCTTCAGCCACATGTTGTTTTACATTTTATTTGCTGAGGAGTTTTAAAAGGATGTGGGCGTTGCCCAATAGATGTAGTAGGATTTTACCAGTAGTTGTTGCACCTTTAAGTTGGTCGGCTAAATCGATAATCGCAGTCTTGAACGTCATCAGGTCGAGTTTGTCGAAGATTGTCGTTGTCTCTGCTTCGGAGTTTTCCGTTTTTGGTTGTCCCGCTGTCGCTTTCGCGTAGGAGATTCCTTGTCGGATGTTGGAAGTGGTGGCTTTGGTTGGTTTGATGTCCTCTCGTGGTTTGGTTAGCTTCTTGGTCGAGAAGGCTTTGCAACCCCGGTAGCTCGCGGGGTGTGGTCCTTCACAGTTGCGGCACTTTGCTTGTTCTTCTTTTGGTTTGGTGCATTGGGATGAATGGTGTAATTCTGCACATTTAACGCATCGTGGGGTCATCTTGCAGTTCTTTTGGACATGTCCAATGCGCTGGCAGCGATGGCATTGTATAGGTCGGCGTTGTTGGCGGTATTTCTCTATAGAAACCTGTAAGTGGCAGCAAGCGTTGATGTCCTTGACTTTCGCTTCCATTTCCTTGGGCGCAGTAATCAACACCAGGGGAATCTCTTTCGACCGGCTTTTCATCCTGTGGACCGTTGCGTCGCGTAGCCCATTTCCTTCGAGGTCGTTTAGGACGTCTTCGCATGATAGTGAAGTAGGAATACCCTTGGTTCGGGATTTCAAAACCTTCGTCTAGCTCCATGATGTTGGTTAGTCTTAAGAAAGACTATTTTCTGTCGCGAAAAACTCTCGTTTCAAGTAGTTGTTGACGATCGCTGCTGAAGTTGTTGTTACCGTCTCGAAGTTCAGACCAGGAGTGTCATTTAGACACGCACCTGTACTCTTTCCTACCCTCAGCTAATCTTGGCATTTCCCTAAAACTAGAACATTAAGTCCTGTTTCTGCCTCCAATAAGTCTCCGACTAGCCCTTCATGTCCAAGACGGTCTCCGACCAACCTATCTCGCCTATTTCTTATTGACATCCATAGAGGCCTCTGTTCTCTTACTCTTTCTAATACCTCTTGATTTCTACATTTCGAACGCTTCTAACCTTTTCTTTTCCGCAGCGCCCGGTCATGTTTCGCATCTGTACAACGCCGCGCTCCAAATGTACACCTTTACCAATCTTTTTCAAATTTTTAAATTTACCGTTCGCGAACATAGAAGTGACTTCATTTTATTGAAGGCGATTCGACCCTGCTTTATTCTTTGCTTTATATACTTATTACTCCTTCCGTCCTGACTTATTTGACTTCTTAGATACCGAAAATCAGCCAGTTCTTGTAATTTTTCGTCTCCTAACTTTATGTTCGCTTTTTCTTCCCTTGTATGCCAGTATTTTTGTTTTATTAATAATTCTAAAGTTTTTATTTGAATCTTCATAAATATAAGAAATTTTTTGTTATGTATACTTATCCAATATTTAAAATTTTACAAAAGTAAATTAGACTGGTAGACTTAAAATGTCTCGAACAATTTAATATTAAGTTGGTTAATATTTATCAGAAGCAGAGCATCCGCCATTATGTTATGCTAAAATTATATTCGTTTAACTTCAGTTCTCCATCTTGTTAATACAGAATTTGGATCCTTCAGGTTCAAAGTCATACGAAGAGTATATGGTCAGCGACCCGTTCAAATTTTAAATCGAATATGTATAGTCTATAATAATTTGTTCCTCAAATTATAGAAATAAGTCCTTTTCTTATCGTGGAATATTTAGTCTAAGTATCGTTATGTGTGCGAGAAGCAAACGATATTGGTCTTTCAATATCAGTTTCATCGTCTATTTGTAGTAATACCTACAGGCCCCAGGGTAAAATCCCAAACATCACTTGTTAAAATAATTTGCTTATCCAAATCTGGATAAGTTAAAGTACTATCGGAAGTTAACAAACGTTTACATTTTTCAAAATATTTTTCAATTCCTGGAAATATACAAAATTTTGCGCTTTTCTTTAATTTTGTCAGGGGTTTTGCTAATTTTGCAAAATTTTTAACGCATTTTCTATAAAATCCGATAAAACCTGACAATGATTTTATTTCTTTCTCATTGTTTAACTTCATCCGTAAGAAATTTTCACTTATGTGGTTTAATTTTTAAATTATTCTGGTGTAGATAATTTAAAAATTAAGCATAAAAATGCCTTTCTGGCTTAAAAGTGCTCCAGTCACATTTCAACATTAGATGAACTACATTTTTAAAAAAATATATTGGAAAGTTTAGTTACATCTAGGTTCCTCTTTCCCCCACGCTACTCCATAGCTCAACAAGTAAAAAATTATAGTTTGTCATTTTATTTTCAATTAATTTTTNCATTTTAGGATAACGTATGCTATGTGTTCTGTCGGAGCTGCCTGCGACGCGCTGATGAGATCCAAAAAGATCGAAATCGCGATCCGCGTCTGGCAGTTTTGACAGAATACAGACCACTTCGAATTATTTTAACTTTAGAATTATTAACGATTTATTTCCAAACATTGTTTATGGTGAGTTTGAGGATTTTTTAGTGATGCAAAATGATGAAGACCAGGAATATTATTTTAGTTACGATCAGATCATACCACTGTAAACACAATTTTAAAACGTTATCAAAATTGCAAATCATACTTTATAAGCTATTTTAACAAAAATTATTATGGAATATTAAATTTTTTGTACCTTAAAATGCAGTTTATTTTCTGTAAAGGCATTATACCACCCGTGATAAAGGTGAACAACAAAATGTCATCATCACGTACAACAATGGCCCTGTGTGCGATCGGGTACACGTGTGCGTGAACGGCTTATCGATTCGCTGACTAGCCGCGGGCGCCTTTCTTCATGTGCAGCGTGTTTATAAATGTGTGTGTCGTACCTGCGTTCTGGGAAAACAGTTAAGTAGTTCAATGTTTCCAGAAGGTTCCAGAAAGTAAACAAAAGAGTATTTAAAGGAAGAGACGATCGCCCAGAGAAGAAGAAATAAATTGACAGTGATAACAGTGAAATAAATAGCGCAGTGAATAGTGATATATCAACAGTAGTGTAAATAAATAGAATAATCCATGACCTAAATTTAGTAATAATTTAATAGTGTTTTAATAATTCTTTAATAGTTAGTGTAAATAAATAGTTTTTGTCGTTATCAGTCTTAGAAGTAATTTTGTTAAACCCACGAACATTACACTATTACAAAAGAATTACAGAGATCACTCATAAAATTGGACAGCTATATAAATAGAAAAATATGCATAGTGATGTTGCCCAATTCATTTCTTTTTGTCCTGTTTCTCAATCAATCTTAAATACTAACGATCCCCCTGAAAAGCTCTTTCAGCTTGTAGAATACGGAATTGTGACCAGTTGTAATGCCTTATTATTGCTATTAACAGTATTTTTCCAAAGGCGGGTTTGGTGACAGTTGAAACAGTAATTATATTTAGTTTTTTTGTGTTCTAGATGACTAGGGTTGACGTAGAGAGACTTCTTGAAAGCAGATTCACTTGTTGAAGTATAAAGACGCGTATGAAGTGGTAAAAGCTGGAGATTCACTACGAAAAGCGGCGGACAGGCATAGAATAAACCATTGTGTTGTTATATAATATAAAAGCAAGATGGATCTAGGGAGGAAGATGAGGGTATGGGCTATAAAGCACACAACCGAGTTTTTATTTGATTCGACATGCAGATATATATTTTGGACTATCTAAAAAAGAAGTGAGGAAATTAGCGTATGAACTTACTATATAGTATGATTTATCATGGCTTTCGACTTGGGAAGTCAACCAGGTGACTGGTGAGGAGTGGTTTTGGATATTTATGAAAAGAAACCATGAACTTTCAGTGCGTGTCGCGCAAGCTACAAGCCTGTTAAGGGCAACTACCTTTAATAGAACTAACGTCGATGTTTTCTATGACAATTTTACCATTGTCACGGACCGTCATAAGTTTGAGCTTCAAAACATACATAACATTGATGGAATAAGTATAACAACAGTTCAAAAACCAGATAGAGTGGTAGCTAGACATGGTACTCGTCAGGTAGGTTCAGTAACTTCAGCTGAAAAGCGTACTTCAGTTACAACAACTTTTGCAGCAAACGCTGAATCATATATATATATGCATTCCTTAGAATACTTCAAAAAACAAACAAATGTGTCTCCGACAAACAAGCGGTACTCGTACTTGATAATCACTTATATCACACATTCATATTAACGCACTGGATTTTTGTAAAAACAATGACAATGTTTTACTATCTTTCCCTCCCCATTGCTCTCACATCCAGCCACTTGATTGATTTGCATACGACCCTTTAAAGAAGGCTATAAATTCGACTTGTGATGCGTGGATGCGAAGTCATCCAGCAAAAACAATGTCAATTTATGACATTCCGGGGATTGTAGCGTTTGTTATGCCTCTTGCTCTGACATCATCCAATATTCAAGTCGGGAATATATCCATATAATCGGAATCTGTTTACAATCCTAAGAATACAACTGAGGACGTGGTTTTTTCTGCATTGGATGTAATCTAACCTAAAGTCGAAACGTCACCATTATCACGTTCTCTCTTAGCAAATGAACCGTTGACTGAGGCGATGGCTCAGGCTATCAATAACTCGCTAGTCCCAACAACTGAGCAGGAAAACGTTCATGAACGTCAGGAAACATTAAATGTACCACCTAGGCTTTACAGCAGCATTATCAATCGAGAAACTTCATCGAGACCTTCTACAAGTGCACAACGAATTTCTGGTGATCCTATTGTATCTACATCGGAAGCAGTACGGCCATTACCGAAAGCACCCCCGAGGAAGTAGAAGAAAGAGAGAAAAACTAGAAAGTCTAAAATTTACACTGATACACCAGAGGAAAAAGAGATATGAAAAGAAACAAGATTAAAACGGACTAAAGCTAAACAAGTTAAGAAAAGATTGGATGGCAGAAAAGGCAAAAAAATACTTCAAAAGGAAAAAAAAATGTATTGTTTGTTTAACATCATTCAGAGAGAAGATCCAGAGAAAAGTGGATTCAATGCATCTCTTGTAAACAATGGGATCGCGAAGAGTGCACACTGCACAGAAGGTGGTCTCGGCTATGTCAGCCACAATTGCGACTTATATTGATCCTTATGTTAAATTTTTGATTGAAGAAATGTTTCCCTTTAGTTTAACTTCAAATTATTTTCGTTTAGTTGCTTAGTTTACTAAATTAGTTAAGTAAATTTTTAAGTCCTATTTTAGTTTCGTGGGCCGTATATAATAATTTTTATTACGCTATGACTCTCAAAATCAATAATTACCTATCTAAACTAATACATTAACCTTGTTATTTTCATCTTCAGTTACGGGTTTTTCGTACAAATTTTTTGGCCCCCATTCCAAAACGTACAATCTCTGCTTCTATTCGCCTGAACTTTTTTTTTGTTCATTGGGGGCAGATTCGAATACCCTTGGTTAAAAAGGCGACAAATCCTCTCTACAACTTACTGACATTCTCCATGAATGTAAAATAAATTTAAAATATTGTTATTGGTATAATTGTTTTATATGTTTTCCGTTTTGAAACTTTAACGCTGTCGGAACCAATATTGCCTACTATGATGAAGCATTTAAAAAAACGTAATAATGTATTTTTCAAAAATTTCTTATTACTCATAAACTATTACCGATAAGTATACGATACCAATAGGATAATACCAAATGGAGATAGGCACGAGATAGCTAATCACCCAATATGGTTGCAGCTGTTTCGACATTACGTGAAAATCCGTTATTTAGCATGAGAATGCCATTTTCAAAATTTTCACAAAAATCTATATATCTCGAAAACTACTAATTTTTCAGTTAGAGTTGTATAATTAATATCAATCTAAAAAGGCTCCCTGAAATAAAATATGTCATAAAAATATAGCATTCCATTAAAAATAGGTTAGTTGATGTCGACTTCCGGTATAACTGGAAGTGACCGACAATTGCAAATATTGTAATTAGTAAGAGCGTTAGTATTTAAGTTATTTGTCGCATTTCAAATCCTAGGGGTAGTTTAAAAACTATTAATGATCGGGTTACCTGAAAAATCCTAAATACCTACCTACCTCGATACTTCATGCTCTTTTAACATTTCTGTAAGCATCACTCACCATCAGGGGCGACCTTAGTCATTGGAAGGTTCCGGGCGAGTAAATTTTTGCGAGGCCTTCATCTTTGTGGAATTAATTTTAATGATGATACTTGAAAAATGTAAAGTGATTCATAAATAAGTTTACAGTTTTAAAATTGCTTATCGAAAATTAAAAACAAATTGAGAAAGACAAAGATAGCAAATTTGCGGCTTATTTTAAGACTATTAAGAAATTCAAATAAACATTAGTAGTATGTACTATTACTACCTAATATTTTTCTAATTAGATTGTTGCGCGAGTGTGTGAGGCCCCTGCAAGAGCGAGGCCCCGGGCGGTTGCCCTGTTCGCCACCCCCAAAGGCCGCCCCTGCGCACCATAGCCTGACGTTAGAATGTTTTTTTTTTTAGTTCTTTTTATTTTATATTTGTTGTTTATCAAGGATAATAAATTAACTCGTTTTTGCTTTTTTATTAATGTTTATTTATTTATGTATAGAACAAAAGTAATCTAACCATAATATGAACGCCAGAGTGTATTTATTAGACAAAGTTAAAAACATTATCTTATGATTTCGAGATAGTCGTAGTGACAGGGTACTTGTGTCACGTCATATGACTAACAATATCGAGTTAGATATCGCTATCGGATATCTAAACATCCAGTAGCAATTCCTCTTCTCAAAAATGAGGTGTCAGAGAGTCAAAGTTGACGGTCAATACTTGTTTCTTTTCCTTGGGAAAAGCGCAGCTGGCTGGGATGGGTCTATTAACAGCCATTTCCGTCTTCTGTCCTCAATTTTGTATTTCTTCCTTCGATGTTAAGATTACTGGTTGTTAGTCGTTTCTGTATTTGTGATAAAATTAGTTCTAGCCGTCCAGTTTTCCCTGGCATGGGCGTTGTAATTCATATCTGTACTGATCAAAGTGGGATCATAGACTGATATAGTCTCCTCGGTGTAGTAGTTAGCTAAAAGGCAATCACAACGCGCAACAAATTACAACAAAAAAAAAACAAAAATTACATTCAATTGAAAAAAAATGACCCAAAATTCACTAAGCATAATGTTTATTTTAAGACAGTACAGTAATTGTCATTTAGTAAAAGCACTAACAGTTAATAGAAATATAAAGTTTATTTGACCATACTAAGACGATTTTTTTTTTTTGAAAAGGTAGCATTGAAACTGACAAACAATTCGACAGATAAGAAAGACGTTTAAGTATATACGATCGATATATTTTATGTAGTCAGGTGTAGTACCACACACTTTAAACGTCTGATTTTACAATGGAGTTTACAATGAAACTTCGAAGTGCACCATCTAGAACGAGAATAACACATTCGGCCACGAATATCGCCAAACTGAGTAAATTTGCCAAAAAAAGGCATCCGTCGAAATGCAGGAAATGTGTTTGTGTTCCTCAAAATATAGGATCAATTGAGTTCCCACCTGTGTGGATGGAACTTAGGTTGAACAGTCAGTTGTGCGATGGCATTGTACACTGTGAAGATGGAACTATTTTTAATATTCACCGAGCGATTTTAGCATCAGTTAGTCCTTACTTTAAGGTCAGCATACCACCTTATTTGGAAAAATTTAAAACACTCCATCACATTTCCGAAGCATAAACCAAACATAGTTAAAATTGTACCTTTGGAGATTAAAACTGTAGCTGTCAAGTCCGAATACGACCATTTACCTTATTTTTCAATCAATTTCAGATACATCTGTATACAAGGTTGCATACTTTTTAGGGTTTTTTAGGTAACCCGTTCATTAAAAATTTTTAAGTAAGACTAGAGATTAGAAAATAACCCAAAAAATGCTAATGTTTTGATGATATTTTTACATTCAGCGAACCTTTTCAGATCGACTTTGATTATACAACTCTTTCTAAAAAATTAACAGTTTTCGAGATACTTAGGTTTTTCTGAAAATTTTGAAAATTACATTTCCACGTTAAACAGGGGAATTTTGAAACTGACGTCGCCATATTGGGTGATCAAGTATCTCGTACCTATCTGGAATTGTACTCTTAGTGTCTTATACGAGGGTGGATTGATAAGTTTCCGGCCTAACCAAGAGATGACGCCACTAGGCCTACCTTGAGGTGACATTCTATAGTACCATCCTTGGATAGCTTGTAGCTATAGTTTCAGCCCGATCTCCTNTATAAGGATTCGCTAAACCATTTTTGAGTTTTAAGAAATTTTTGAAAAAAGCTTATATTTTGTTTTTTATTTTCTTTTTAATTTTAAGAAGTAACTACCTACAATATCTGATATACAGCAGGAATAACTGAAACATTTAAGAAATAAAAACAATACTTTACCTTTTATTTATTAAAGTAATTTATATCAAAGGGTACTTACTTAAACCAAACTTGTCAAATTCTGCAATTTCGTGATATCTCACTGACAGTGATATTTTTCGTACTTTTCTTTTAAAGGCTTTATTTACAAACTCAATAAACAGAGGACAGCCCGAAACAAAAGAAGCACATGTCAGTATACCTCATGATATATTTCAAAAACTACTTGATTTCGCTTATACTGGTCACTGTATAGTTAACAATGATAATGTGGAGTATCTTCTACGGTTTGCAGATCAGTATGAAATACTTGGAGTTGTGCGATTATGTTGCCAGTTTGTTCTAGGTTAATCAATAGTTTAATTTATTTTTACGCTTATTGTTCATCTTGAATAATTTCTTAAAGGGGTCTTATTTTATTTGTTGGCTCTAAAGTTGCTTGTTTCAGATCAGTTACAACCTACAAATTGCTTGGGCATACTTCGGTTCGCAAAACATTACTTTTGTAAAGAGTTAGAAGAAAGGGGCCGACTGTACGTAAGACATCATTTCATGGATCTATTGAAAGAAAGTGTTGAATTAGCCACGCTACAACTAGATGAGTTACTAGAAATATTGTCAGATGATGAACTCAATATAAAAACAGAGGAATCAGTTTTTCAAGCGATCAAAAAATGGATTGATGTGGACGTAGATAATAGGAAAACTCACCTTCCCAAATTGTTATCGTGTGTAAGGGTGGGAACTCTTCCATATGAGAATGTAATAGATATGTTGAAATGGCCACCAATTATGGAAAATGCAGTAAGAATATTTTTGAATTTAAATACCTATTAAAACTGCATTATACATGGCTAAACCTGTACAGGAATGTCAAGAACAACTATTTCCGATAGTGCACCTGTTAGAAAACCCAACCAACGATTTACTAGACATAAATTCTAATCATTTATATAGACCACGAATTCCGTACGATATTCTTTTTGCGGTTGGTGGATGGAGTGCGGGCAGTCCGACGAACTTTATAGAAACTTATGATGCTAGAGCGGACCGCTGGCTATTAGTTATGGATACTGATAATTCTCCAAGAGCCTATCATGGTCTTTGTGCTCTAAATGGACTCATTTATATGATAGGTAGGTAAAATTTTCACCAAAATTAAAAATGTCAGTTAACTGGACATGTACCTCCAGGAGGTTTTGATGGTACAGATCACTTTAATACAGTACGCTGCTTTGATCCCGTAAAAAGAGTGTGGAAGGAATGTGCTTGTATGTATTTTCCACGGTGTTACGTGAGCGTGGTTATGTACGAAGGAAAAATTTATGCACTCGGAGGATATAATGGAAGAGTCAGGATGAATTCAGCAGAACGGTACGATCCGGAGATTAATCAATGGGAACTAATTCAACCCATGCAAAAACAAAGATCTGATGCTAGCGCTGCAGCATTAAACAAAAAAGTAAATTTGATTTCAATTTTTTTCAGTGCTCACTTACATTCCGAAATTTTTTCACCTATAAACAAACAATTTAGTTTAAATTAATGTTAATAGAAATGGTCGTATCTTCTAGTTATTACTATTTTTTGATATTGATAAAATGGGTTTACTTTTTTGAAGTTTTTCACCAAAAAAGCAAACGAAATAAATTTACTAGTTACCCAAATTATCTTATCTATCTCAAATTATTTATTGTTATTGTACGTTTACTTAAATCAAAATTATAATTTTTGGAATGAAAGGCTTTAATATTTTGACGTTAACATGAATTGAGATTGGCTTTCACAAATTTGAAACAAGTTCTGTAATAAAAGTCTGACTAAAGTTAGATCTTTTCAGATCTATATCGTAGGTGGCTTTAACGGCAGTGAGGTGATGAACTCGGCAGAATGCTACGACACACTAGTAAACCAATGGAGCTACATTCCTCAAATGACAACAGCACGTTCGGGGGTTTCTCTAGTTGCTTTCCGAAACAGTCTGTATGCCTTTGGTGGTTTTGATGGGTTCACAAGACTTACTAGTGCCGAGAAATACACTCCGGGGGAATCTATAGACTGGTCGGAAATAGCTGAAATGTTTTGTCCTAGAAGTAATTTTGCTACAGCTGTTTTAGATGACTTTATTTACGTAATAGGAGGATTTAATGGTATTTCTTGTCTACAGGAATGTAATGTAAGCCCTTTTTAGATCTGTTTGTTGCAGGATCTACAACTATAAACTATGTAGAATGTTACGATGTTGACAATAACGAGTGGTTTGATGTAGCCCGAATGAATTTAAATAGGTCCGCATTAAGTGCTTGCGTGGTAAGCGGACTCCCCAACGCTAAAGAGTATTCATTGGTTGGTAAATGTCAAAAAGAAATGGGTCAAGGAGCCGGTGGATCTGTCGAACAGTCGGAATTTTTAGATTGAAAAAACCTTATAAAAATTATTTAATTTAGTTGCAAACAAAATTAATTCAACCGACGCAAATGAAACTAAGATGGTGCCCTTTTACACAATTTTTTGTCACAAAATTTTTGATTTTATTTATATTGTGGTCTCACCTTTTTATCTTTACATGTATGTATTTCATATTGTTTACTTTTTTTTAATTAAAAACGAATGATCTCGCTGTGGAAAGATTAATTTAAAAATAAGGGAAATAATACATTGTTGCCGTGGTTTATATAACGTACAAATTGAACCTGTTTTGAGTGAATAGCTGCCGGGTTCGTGAGTTGTCCAACTGTTAAAAATAGTCGTAGTGTGAACGTTTTCAAAAATGAACTTTTATGCTGCTTCCAAATTTTTACCTATTCTTTTAAATATGATTCCAATTTACTGTTTTATTTAATGTATTGAACCAATGTAACTGTAGACTAATAAAAACATATCAGAGAAAACCTCCATATAAAGCGAATACTTATTATTAAATTCATAACAGAGATAGAAGTATATTCAAATAGGTTTGTATAAATTATCGGTAAAAATAAGAATCGTAAAGACGATGCCAAGAATGGGTCATCGATTACGTAGTTGAAATTACCATCAAGTGATATAAAGATACCAATGTATTAATCGAACCGAGTTATTTAAGGTACCCTTTAAAAGATACAATTAGGATGCGACCATCAATTTTTTAACTAATTATTCTATAACACCAGTATCACTAATTAATCACTCCTTTACTACTATATTGTTCACTTAATCACTTCTTAATTCTTATTTCGCTTTTTATTTCCTTGAAACTAGAATTAGAACTGTTTTCTTCCGACCTCTCGCCAACTTTTTATAGGGACGAAATTCGTTCTAAAAAGATTTCAGTTTGTAAGCTCTAGAGAACTTGTTCTTTATTACTAGCGTAATCCCCGCAACCTAGTTTAGGTTACAGGTTTAACAGCTAGTCAGATCGGCTATCCATAAACAACGTAAACTATACGTCTTCCTCGAGGAAGGGAAATCTTCAAAAGATACTCTCTAAATGGGGGCAGTGTCGGATTCACCGAAGCGTCTACCGACTAAAATCCCTCCTCGAGTAGGGAGATCAACCCGTAGGTTATACATCCCAGAAAAAAGTGGGAAGAGGTTGGGAGCGGGAACGAGAATGGGTATAGGAAGGAAGCATTGGGTAGAAATGGGAATCGATGATCCACTTCGGATGAAAAAGCGAAACTAGGAATGAGCGGAAGTGAAGCAGCTCAGAGTAAAAGGTGGCAGGGCCTTCTGAAACGAAGTCGACAAGTGTCGAGATTTAACTAGTTTGCTCAGCGAACTGAGGCTAATGGGCCTGTAGCTTGAGGAAGAGCTGGGGGGCTTCCCTTTTTTGGGGAGACAGTTGACAGTGGCTTCTTTCTAGACCGGAGCGAAATGGTGGAGCCGTATAATAGCGTTTGTGATGTGGCAGACTGCGGTTAAGTGTTTTGAAGGCAGAACTTGTAGGACACTGTTGGGAATACCGTCCGTGCCGAGGGATTTTCTCTTTTTCAGAAATCGGATGGTGAGGAATATTTCAAGGGGGGATGTGTGTTTAAGGTCAGAAACAGTTGGAATGGAGTTTTGGGAGGCGATGTTGGTTCGCTCGTGAAAGTCGGCAAGGTCAACAGGGCTGGGAAGTGGGGAGCACTGGAGACAGAGAGAGTCTGCGAAGATTGCAATTTTTTCCTCATTTGAAGTGAATACGTAGACGTTCTCTTTTAGCTGCGGGAGGTGTGGGGCTCTGTTTCGAAGAGAGCGGATAACTTTTCAAGTACTTTTGGGATGTGTTTCGACCTGAGCGATATAATACGAGGGTGGATTGATAAGTTTCCGGCCTGACCAAGAAAAACAAGGTTTTTAAAATTTTTTTTTTTTATTTCTCAACATAATCTCCTCCAAGGCTGATACATTTCTCATAGCGGTGTTCCAGTCTATTAATGCCATCTCTATAGACTGATTCGTCAAGCTCCTCAAAATAACCATTTACAGCTTCGATTACTTCTTCATTGTCCGCAAATCTCTTACCGCCAAGCCATTTTTTGAGATTAGGGAACAGAAAATAGTCACTCGGGGCTAGGTCTGGAGAGTAAGGAGGGTGCGGCATCAATTCAAACTTTAGATCGTTGATTTTAGCCGTCGCAACGATTGACGTGTGCGCTGGTGCGTTATCGTGATGAAACAAGATTTTTTTCTTCGCCAGATGAGGTCGTTTAATTTTCACCTCGTGGCTCAAACGTTGCAATAAGTCTGCGTAGTATTGACCAGTGATAGTATTACCCTTTGCAAGGTAATCAATGTATATAATACCTCTTGCATCCCAAAAAACAGTAGCCATAACCTTGTTCGCCGAAAAAATTGTTTTTGCCTTCTTTGGAGTTGGTTCCCCTGGTCCAATCCACTGTTTAGACTGTTCTTTGGTTTCAGGAGTGTAGTGGTGGACCCACGTTTCGTCAACGGTTACGAATCGACGCAAAAATTCGCTTGGATTACGCTTATACAATGACAAATTTGCGGTAGAAATGTTTTTTCGAATCAATTTTTGGTCGACTGTTAGCAAACGCGGCACCCATCTTGCACAGAGCTTTTCCATATGCAAATGTTGGTGCAAAATATGTTGCACACGTTCATATGACATCTTACAGGTGTCAGCTATCTCACGCACTTTCAATCTGCGGTCTCCCAGCACTATTTGATGAATTTTTTCGATCATATCTGGAGTTGTGACCTCAACGGGGCGTCCTGAGCGAGGCCCATCAGAGGTGCTCACACGACCCTTTTTAAACTCGGAAACCCACTGCTTAACGGTTGAATATGACGGGGAGGATGTCCCCAGTGTTGAGTCCATCTCTTTTTTAATTTCCTTCGGCGTTAACCCCTTCAAATAAAAGTATTTGATGACAGCACGATTTTCCTGCTTTTCCATTTTTACGAAAACCACAGAGGCGTCTTGTTCAGCGTGCTGTCAAACCTACACTAGCAAGGAGATCGGGCTGAAACTATAGCTACAAGCTATCCAAGGATGGTACTATAGAATGTCACCTCAAGGTAGGCCTAGTGGCGTCATCTCTTGGTTAGGCCGGAAACTTATCAATCCACCCTCGTAGTCGAAGGTGGCGCTACGAAATTCGGTTAGGCGAGTTTTAAGTTTTCGCTGTAGGGAGTTTAGTTTAACGCAGTGTGTGGGATCACGGTGTTTTTGCTACAGGGGCCGAAAGTTAGCGAGACTTCAATGCCAACTGCTTTCAATGAATTTGTGGCCAAAGAGATGAGCTTGTGTTTTAAGGAGTTGCTGACGAGAATGGTTATGCCACCGCCTCGGGAGTTTTCACAGTCCCTTCTGTAGGATATGAAGTTTGGGACGAAAAATTTGACTTTCTGCGATATGAGAATTTCGGTGATGCAGGATAGCGAAGCCTTTATTAACAAGTTTAGACTGTATATCGTCCGTGGAGATAGCTTCGTAGACTCCATGGAGGACGACATGAAGGTCTCTATCTTGTTGAAATTGGTTGCTTAAGAACTTAACCTTGGATTCGTCGAGGTGCAACGATAGGCGATGAAAATCGTCCACGGAGTTGGGGTAGACTCTGATCGAATCTTGCATGTTAATCGTTCGAGGAGGAGCTTTAGAGCCTTGACTCGGTTGCTCCGTTTCCAACTCAGTGTCAGTGGACATTGACGAAGACGATGATAGGAAGGGTGTTCGTCTCTGGCGTTTGTTGCGACACTTCCCGGTTTGAGTGAAGCGGTAATAGACGATGGTCCTTGTTCGGAGAGAACGTGGAAAGGAATGGAAGAAGCGCCGGACACAGTGTCCTCACACAAGTAGTTTAATGTAGCGAGCTTCGACTGCAGCTCGCTCGCTAGGATTAAGGCTTCCGCAAGAGATAGTCCCTCTAAGAGTGCGGAGCTCTTCGGGGTAGCTATTGTTAGAATGACTAACGCACTGAAAGTTAAAGAGTGAAAGTACTCCCTTAATGTGAAAAATTCGAAGATTAGCGCAGGATTGAAAAGAGTGGAGGTGCGTATCCAACTAGTCTTAGGACTGACGACCTTATGATGATATGATGATGAAGGAACTGCTTGACCCAGAAAAATAATGATAGGCAACCAATGTGGCTCGGATTATGGTGATTTATTAGGTGCCATTAAGCAACTACTACCTTTTGCTTCGTTATACCTGTCTAAAAAAATAACAGCACATATTGTGTGTTTAACCTATTATATGGGACATTTTTTTAAACTAATTTGGACAAAAATTGACCGACGCATTTTCGATTTGGCGGAAAATTTATTATTTACGGGTTTTATACCAAAAAAAGAAGAGAATTGTGTTCGTTGACATTTTTTTAATACTTTGGGAAGTAGAAGTGATTGAAAATTTAAGGATTTGGTGATTTTTGGCGTTTCAAAAATTCAACTCCGGCTCTATTTGAACTACAAACTTTTTTCATTTTAACTAAAAAGACTGTTTCATCATCATCATCATAAGGTCGTCAGTCCAAAGACTGGTTAGACACGTACCTCCACTCTTTCCTATCCTGAGCTAATCTTCGCATTTCCCTAAAACTAGAACAACCCACATCCTTAACAATTTGCGAACAGTAATCTAACCTAGGTCTACCTCTACCCCTCCTAACTCCTGTTTCTGCCTCTAATATGTCTCTGACTAGACCTTCATGCCTAANCTTGCCTTACAACAAAAGCAAATAAAAATCACAAACTGAATATTAACTTAACCTTAAACTGACAAACTTAAGCTGAAAAAAACCTGACGGCTAAGGAGATCTCTCCATATTGTCCAACTACAACGATTGTGCGTTTCTCCTTCCACCTAACGCTCAGATACACAATGTGTAACGAAGCACGGGTTTCCAGCGCCTACGCTACACATCGTGTCTCTGAACGTTAGGTGCAAGGGGATTCGCTGAATCGAGAGTTCACTGTATGCTTCAAGTGGTTTAAAGCGTGCCGCGTATTTTGATATGCACAATTTTTTCGGTTCAAATTTTGTAAAAATAATTCTAGTTGAAATATATTTAAAATAAATATTGAAAATAAGAACCTTTTCAAAAATTCGGGACAATCCGGGACAAAAAACCTGAATCCGGGACAAATATTGCTTCTAGAAAAATCCGGGACGCGAGGTGGCAATCC